CATGATCGACCTGAGGGGCAAGGAGCCATAAGTGACAAAGACAATCTACAGGAAACGATTCCTCGATTGAATGCTTAGACGCTCTTTTGCTAAGACATACCATTCCTTCGCCGTCAGAAATTTGATTCCTCATGTGCACGTTGTTAGTTCCTGATGCCGACGGCAGAGCCCAAATTAGGAACGAGCGCAGAAAAAAGACGGCTCTTTCATTTGTCTACTCCGTACGTTTGCTCATTTATCCGTCGCTGAAGCATGAAAGGTCTGGACCGTCCATGTATCTGAAAAGCTTGGCGGAGATTTACGGAGTACTAGCCTGGTGGATAGCTTAATACGTGACATTACTGTAAAGTTCGTTAATTTGAGTGCCAGAAAGCTTGTCTGATGGTAATCTAAATACATACATACTCCACCACGTGCTTATCTGCATCCGTCCAACAACATTCTTGACAACGGTCAATCTCGTCCTTCGATCAGAATGTCAAGCAACTCTAAGGTTTCTGCAACATCTCCGGATGCAGAAAGCTGCGGGTTAAAGCCTACGCTGATGTAAGCCAGACGTCCTGAAGGCCTCGAAGACTGGTTGGCAACATCATTGCCGATATGAGCCCTCTTTCCTCGGGGCTCGGATATGCAGCTAGTTGATTTTTCAATTGCTCCGGCTAATACTGAACTTCCCGTATGTTGATGAGTTTTTCTTGAAGAGGACAACTGCGGATGTGTCTAATGTGCAAGACAGCTTCTGCATTGAGCTCACTTCAAGGATGCTCCTTCCCTCGTTCATGAACCCCAGACTGGCCACTGATCCAGAACAAACGTAGAGTACAAACCACTCGATGAATTCCAGTACTTCGTTAAGATCATCCTCCCGTCACATAACACACGCTCGTTTTGTTTGAGAATACTTTGTCCCACTTTTTGAGCATCACCTGAGGCCTATTCCGGAAGGTTTCTCTCATGGAGTTCTGCCCACCAATGCTACAGGCTCGTACGTAGCATGTCCAGAAGCTTGACAGTTCAAGACAGGCACAAAGTCTTTGTCGCTCCCCAGTTGTGAAGCCATTACCCATCGTTATTGTTATACTGTCACCTTGTATTCGGATGCATTCCGTTTCCGGCTATTCCGCTTTCAACACCTAGTATCATCTGGCACCCAAGCAACCCCAGATTCATGCAATTTGCGGCCAGCGTGCTGGACCTGGCTGTTACACAAACTGCACCTTTCTGGTGAGAAAGATCAGTTTCACTGGAAGCTGTGCCTCCAATCTGCATGCGGTCGACAGACAGCCAGCGCTTTCAGCAAAGGTTTACTTAAAGCAGGGCGTTTCCATTCCTCGAGCGCGTCTTTTCGTCAACAGCCATTCTCTTTCCCAGCCTCTCATTTTATTACAGTGAAGAACTGTTCGTTTCAAGAAAATGATATTCAAATTCTCGCAGAAGGCGCTCGTGGCGCTATGCCTCGTGGTTGGCCTGGCCGAGGCTGTGCCTTCTAAATCGTGAGTCTTCATCACAAATGCTCGATAAGATTTGCTGACTGTAAATCTAGGCGCGTTGTGTCAAGAGCTTCCACATTCGACTACAACGGCATCGTCCGCGGTGTCAACATTGGTGGCTGGCTTGTACTTGAGCCATGGATCACGCCTTCGATCTTTGACAACGCTGGAGATGCTGCTGTTGACGAGTGGACGTTGACCGCTACTCTAGGACAGGATCAAGCCAAGGCTGTTCTATCTCAACATTGGTCGACTTTCATCACTCAGGGTGACTTCCATCGGATTGCTCAAGCGGGTATGAATCATGTCCGCATCCCCATCGGATACTGGGCTGTGAGTTCTCTTCCCGACGAGCCGTACGTGGACGGTCAGCTGGAATATCTCGACAATGCAATCTCATGGGCCAGGGATGCTGGCCTGAAGGTTGTGATTGATCTTCATGGTGGTAAGTGGCGAAGAGTTGTTGCTGCAAGTCTCATGCGAAGCTCATCTGTCATCTGAAACAGCCCCGGGATCCCAGAATGGCTTTGACAACAGCGGACGCAAGGGACCTATTGCCTGGCAGCAGGGCAATACCGTCTCACAAACCGTGGACGCCTTCCGAGCTCTGGCTGAGCGTTATTTGCCACAAAGCGACGTGGTCGCGGCTATTGAAGCTCTTAACGAACCCAACATCCCAGGCGGAGTCAGTGAGGCTGGGTTGAGAGATTACTACGACCAGATTGCAGATGTTGTGCGCCAAATCAATCCAGACACTTCTGTTTTCCTGAGCGATGGCTTTCTGTCGACGGCATCCTGGAACGGATTCAAGACGGGTGAGGATGTGGTCATGGATACACACCACTACGAGATGTTTGATAACTACCTGATCAGCCTGGATATCCACGGCCACGTCAAGTCTGCATGCGACTTCGGCAAGCAGATTAAAGGGTCGGATAAGCCAGTTGTCGTCGGAGAATGGTCAGGTGCTGTCACTGACTGCACGAAGTACCTGAATGGCAAGGGTGTTCCCACGCGCTATCAAGGAGAGTATGCCAACAACCCGAAGTACGGCGATTGCGGAGACAAGACTCAAGGCTCGGTGGCAGACCTTTCCGACCAGGAGAGGGCTGATACTCGACGATTCATCGAGGCCCAGCTCGATGCCTATGAAGGAAAGAATGGCTGGCTATTCTGGACTTGGAAGACCGAAGGGGCGCCCGGATGGGATATGCAGGACTTGCTTGCCAACGGTGTCTTCCCCAGCCCTCTGACGGACAGGCAGTTTCCGAACCAATGTGCCTAAGCCCAGGCACATTCTTATGCTTTGGATAGTCACCCCTATCGTTAGTCTATCTTAATAATGTAGTTTATCAAGATCTCCAAAACCAAAAATCTTTTGCTGGCGAAGTGGCGATATCTGAGTCATCATGTTCTGCAGGCAGTAGACTGGATGCTTAGACTAACGATCAGAGTATGTTTTTATTTTGATAGGATGGATCCGTTATGTGCCTTAAGGAGGTTTTTTGTATATCCGATTGGATCTCAGCTGCTGTTCACTCTATATTATTCTAAATATTACTGTTCTCTGTACCTAACAAGTTGGTTACATCATATTCGTGGCTGATGAGCTGTAAGCTCCCGAGGCACATGGAATGAGAGCCTCACGCATGCAATGATCGTTCCACTGCCCAAGGTCTCTCATTATTGACGCAGTATGGATACAGCGGAAGAATAACAAAGTTGTAAGGACGTTACGTCCAGTTGGCGGAATTTCGGAACCATAGCTGTCGACTTTTGACAGAACTTTATTCCTCTCCGACATCCCGGAGCATAAACAACATCAATTGACATGCCGATTCTCACTTTGCAAGTGACAGAACTCATCCACGTCAAATGACTTTCTCTCTCACAATTAGCCAGCCATATGCCCATCATAGGCGAGGTAAACCATTGCCCGATAGTACTTTAATCTGACAGGTAAAACTCGCCCCATCGACATCATGCCATACTCGCTCCGAGGTTATTGCTAAGTATAGGCTAACCACCCACTAGGGAGCGCCGTTTACGGGAACGGAGCACATCGATATGGGGCTTTCTCCAAAATGCGACGAAATTTTTTTTTTTTTTCTCTCTTCGTATTAACAGTAAGGGATCACACGGCATCGGATTTTTCAGGTTCTAAGCAGTGTGCCATTGTTTGAAATATCGTTTGTTTTTGCCATTTGCGTATGGACTATTGTATTAGATACGGCTGGCTTTGAGTCATAAGTCTGAGTTTGTGTTGAGATTGCCCCTCTTCTGCTTAGCTACTCCGTAGATAGATCCTAGATGCGTCGCGTATCATGATTTCATAGTGGATATCTATGTGACGATTGTGTTATCGATGTTTCCACAGAACTATGGACGAAATAGAGGACAATCATCCGTGTGATCGACGGATTTGAAACATAGCATGCAATTAGTATCGATATCTCGATGTATCTGAATGAAGGGAAGCTGCCCAACATAGCTTTCTGAGGAAATAGATCCCGGGTTGGAAATGGCACTGATACTGCAGGCGTATGCAGCTGTAAACTCGGCCTTTCGGCTCCGACTCGAGACATGCATGCATTGCCGGCTCGGAATTCAACGGGTCATCTGACCTGCGCTCTCAATGATGATGGTTAGAGTTTCCGAAGATGGAGGCCTGCATTTTCGGGATTAGGCCTAGGATATGACCTCAGGTGAACTCTTGATGGCGTCTCTAGAAAGTGACAGTGTCAATAGAATCAGATGCAGCATATTCTTTGTATTCATATGGTAGGTATCCTGAGCCGTTAGAATGTCATTTAACTGCAGTGTATGTATTTACAGCAGCCATTCAGCTGATCCGAAATCATAATCACTGAAATAAAGGGCCCACGGTAACACGTGTTCGATGTCTTAAGCTCAGATAGATACTAGCACTATGATGCCTAGGTATTCTCTAGCTCCCTTTATGATAAGAATGATCATACCACTACAAGCCCACTTCCAGCAACCGCCCAAGTGTCCGCTCCAATGCAGGACTGAGCAAGCGGATTCTATCATCTCTAGCCTGATGATAGGTCTATTCTATTTCTCTGAGCTGTTTCCTGTCCTAGCCTGTTTTTCAAAATTATCTTCTGGTGAAATGATGTGATCAAGTTCAGAACGGTTTCCGAAGCCCGTGTGGAGTGCTCTCGGACCAAGGAAGGATTATGACGGTCAGAGAATCGGGACCAGAGCTCCAGCCATGTCATTTGTGCATGAGAAATATAAGTTTTCTCTTCTGTCTCGCGGTGATTTGTCCTGGGACTCATGTATAAAGAGAAGACAGTATCTCATATCTACGGGTCGATTCATTCTTTAATCCTCGATCCAGATCTATCCGTCTTCTACTACGGAGCAAGCTCCATAACACTAACTTCCTATTATCTTAATCAGAGCTCTGACCATACCGCTTCGTCTATTCGCATTCTCACCTATCTCCGGGGAAGTCGGACAGCAACAGCATCACATACAGCAATCATGCAGGCGTCTGAAGGAAGGAGAAAGATGGAGGCTCTCCTTGAGGGTGGCCGTCCTGTAAAGCACGTGAGCCGAAAGGCCTTGTATACCAGACTCGAAGCTCGCGTCAACTACCTCAAAGACTTTCTCGACTTCAATTCCAGTAAGCCATCTCCTCTTGCCAAAGTAAAGTCCGCATGATCCAAGCTAACACGTGCACAGGTGATATCGAAGCTTTAACCACAGGCTCCAAGTACATCAAGGCTCTGATCCCTGCCATCGTCAACATTGTCTACAAAAAGCTCCTGGAACAAGACATCACCGCTCGTGCCTTCATCACAAGAGATACCGCCGATGAGACCACAAACGTAGATGACTGGTACACCGAGAACAGCCCACAGATCCAGCGACGAAAGTTGTTCCTGCGGTGGTACCTGACCAAGCTCTGTTCCGATCCGACTGAGATGGAGTTCTGGCGGTATTTGAACAAAGTCGGGTGAGTCCCTCCACTTTCCATGCATCACTCTGTACCAGGCCGAAAAGAACAACCACTAACCCACGATTAGAGTGATGCACTCCGGCCAAGAACGACGAATTCCCCTCAACATCGAATACATCCACATCGGCGTCATGCTCGGGTTCATCCAGGACGTCTTCACCGAAGCCCTCATGTCCCACCCCACCCTCTCCCTTCAACGCAAAGTCGCTCTCGTCCGCGCCATCGGCAAGATCATCTGGATCCAAAATGATCTCTTCGCCAAATGGCGTGTCCGCGACGGAGAAGAGTACGCCGACGAGATGTCCGAGATCATCCTTGACGACAAGGAAGGCTATATCGGCGAGAAGAAGATCCTCGGCGACAGCAGCGCATCGGCGAGCTCCAGCGACGACGACCGCTCCAGTATCGCGAGCAGTGTGGCGCCGTCTGCCGCCTCTGCGTGTCCATTTTCGGATATGGCGAGGCCGTCGTCCGAGACAAAGATCTGGGCTGGACGGTGATGACGATGCTGATTTATGCTTGTTTTTGCATTTGTGCTTCTGGATAGAATATAAAAACGCATAGATGGCGTGGTGGAGGTTTATATACACGATTGCTTTCCCGTTAAGGTCCGATATTGTTGCATGCGTGGTGTTGGGGTTTTATTCATTTTGTGATATACAGTTTTGATATCCGCCTGAAAAGGCAGCACTCCACTTCTGTTAATGAAAGACAGTGGTCCTACACTTCTCTAGTCAATCATCATAATTCCTCAACTACTCCGAACAAGCTTCCTGTGCTTCCCGACTACTCTGGCTAATTCACTGAGAGCCAAGCTGTCTCAACGAGGACGACGCTGCAATCTGTATAGGTCTATCCAAAGTTACTAACTTACTGTACATAGATTAGGTTAGGTTTGGGTTGATTTGGCTAACGAAGTAGCTAATAAGCGCCATAATAGATTTGGTGTGAGGATATGAGTAAGTGAGATATTAGTCTGATATTGGTATCTGTCTTCTCGAAGCGCTTAGAACTTGCAGAAACCACAGGTAAAGAACTAAAGACTGCTTTTTTTGTCCAATGAGATTTCTTATGATCCTCACTACTGCATGTGCAACACACCTTAATGATCGCTGATGCAGGTCCGGCAAATTTTCAAGGCAATTCTGCCAGCTGCTCGCGCATCGCCCTCGCCAATCAGATAGGAGCATCTGCGTCGCCACTACCTACGACCCCTCCAGCACCTTGGACTCCGCACACATCTGCAACTGACCAACAGTGAATGGCTTCATATAGAAAGGTATATATTTGTATTCTGTTTAATGGGCTTCATGGTGGGCTCTCACGTATCTATGGCAATGGTGATAATGGTTCAATGCTTCATTTATAGCGTAGTGCTGCCAAGCTGGGCTACTCGCCCTCGGCTAGACTCCGCGGGGTGGAAGACAGATAGATATCTACCCCTCAGCTACTGCTAGAGGTTTCCCAATTCCAACATGATCATCATTATTTTGGTTTTAGTCTGAAGTCCTAATGGACGAGCGGTGTCGGTTTCTGTTCCCCCACCTCACTACCGAACCAACCTTGAGCTCTCGTCTCTCCCATTGGAGCAACCTGCTACCTGTTGGAGAAAATCGTCTCCGTAGGGTACAATTCCCGAGAGACACTCCCGTGTTCAAGAGGGCCAGCTTCCACAACACGCTCCCTTTTCTTCCTCGTCGAGTCCTTCCTTTTTGCCTTGTACATACTCCTCGATAAATATTTTGTAGTTCTCTCTTGTTACCATTTCAGCGTTGGATACCCCTTCCGAAGGAGATCATCAATATGGCCGCAAACGTTGCTAAAGCCGATTCTGGCGTCATCCCCCTCATCATCAATAACGAGTCCGTCGTGACGGAGAATGTTTTCGATGTCCATGCGCCCGCTACCGGGGAAGTGCTGCATCAATGCGCCGCCGCCTCGGTCGACCATGCCAACCGTGCCGTAGCAGCCGCGAAGGCTGCTTTCCCTGCGTGGAGCAGGATGAAGCCCTACGACCGCAGAGACGTCCTTATGAAAGCCGCCGATATCATGATCGCTAGAAGTGAAGAGTTGATTAAATATCAGATGGAGGAGACGGGAGCCGGGAGGATGTTCGCGGAGAAGACGTGTCTTTTGGGAGCTGGATTCCTCAAGGACTTTGCTGCTAGAATCCCGTCGATTGAGGGCTCGGTACCCTCTGTCACTCAGGACGGTGAGTGCGCAATGGTATTCAAGGAGCCGTATGGGGTGGTCTTGGGAATTGCACCTTGGTAAGATACCCTATTTCGAGTCTGCTTTTGTGACATCGCCTTCGCATAGATATTGACCATTTGATTTTGGCAGGAACGCTCCATTCATTCTTGGAGTTCGTGCTGTTGCGCTTCCGCTAGCTGCCGGTAACACCACCATCCTCAAAGGCTCGGAGCTGTCTCCCAAATGTTTCTGGGCAATTGGCGACATTTTCCGGGAAGCTGGTCTTCCCGCCGGATGCTTGAATGTCCTGTACCACACAACTGCTGATGCGGCCGAGGTGACCACTGCTCTAATTGCCCATCCTGCCGTGCGCAAGGTGAACTTCACCGGAAGCACTCAAGTTGGCTCTATCATCGCTGCGACCGCTGGGAAGTATACCAAGCCCGTGCTCCTTGAGTTGGGAGGCAAGGCGTCGGCTATTGTTTTAGACGACGCGAACCTGGAGAAGGCTGCATTCTGCTGCGCTCTTGGATCATTTATGCATGTGAGTATTGGTTCGCTGACGCCCTGGGATGCGTTCAGAAGGCTGACCTAGAACCAGTCCGGTCAGATCTGCATGTCCACGGAGCGCATTGTCGTACAGCGCGCGATCGCAGACAAATTCCGTCAGCTGCTGGCTGAGAATGCAGAAAAGCTCTTCGGAAAAGCTGCGCCAGCACCGGTGCTGGTAGCCTCGGCAGCTGTCAAGAAGAATAAGGCGCTCGTTGCTGATGCGCTCTCCAAGGGCGCCAGCGTCCTCTTCGGCGACGCAAACGCCACGGAGTCATCTGGTCACAGCCTACGGCCCGTGATTGTGGACAACGTCACCAAGGATATGGACCTCTACTCCATAGAATCATTCGGTCCGACAGTATCCCTCCTTGTAGTGGATACTGAGGAAGATGCTATTGCGCTGGCCAACGACACAGAATATGGCCTTACATCGGCAGTCTTCACTGACAACTTGTTCCGAGGTCTTCGTGTGGCCAAGCAGATCGAGGCTGGGTAAGTCATTTTTCCCCTTGAAGTATCAGCTTTTGCAGTTAGCTTTGGAGGCCCTGTAAAAAACATAGTAAAGTTGCTGACATCGCTGCACCATTTAGTGCCGTCCATATCAATTCCCTGACTGTCCATGACGAGCCCACCTTACCCCATGGTGGATGGAAGAGCAGTGGCTTTGGTCGCTTCGGTGGCGGCACTGCGGCCTATGATGAGTGGTTGCAAACCAAGACAGTCACCTGGACGCAATGATTGCTTCTTGTCATTTCTATCATACATGGACGGGTATCGTGAACCCTGAGATATTCCCAACTTCATTGATGACCATGACACAATTTTCTGCTAGCCGACTCTATATATCCGGTAGTAATTCTCATGTTCTAGCATCTTGCGCAGTCCGTGATAATAAAGCATACTTTGATTCCCCTCTGTTTTAGACTGTTGAAACAGAGCTGGATTGCAGTAAATTTCTTGTTTCGCGTCAAGTTGAGCCTCAAGTCGATCTGTTCGAAACGTTCGAGGGTATGAATACGGGGATACAGCAGAGGAGACTGGAGCCAGAATCATCTCATTTCCTGACACACTTTGAATCAGGACAACTTTCTCTTAGTCGTGAAGGATTCAGATCCAGTGCCTCGAACATCCATAGCAGCGCTCCCTCGACGGAATCGTGGGGCTGAACAGTGTACAGCGTAAGCCATTCAAAGGCATAAGGCACAAGACACGGTCGGCATATTCCTATGTATTCAACGGTTTATGTATCACTTCTAAATGCATCATTTTCTCGCAGGTGAGATGCAGACTGTAGTCTGCAATGCTCCATGTATGTAGTTCAGGCCCCATCGCCTATCTCCACTCCGTGATTGGGCCAGTGCAGCACTCTGTTTAAGGGGCCAGCCCGGGATGAAAGGGACACGCTGACATCCTGCGCTTGGACCGGCGCCAACTGGGATTATTTCCTTCTTGCAGGACACCTGGGCAGCAGCCAGCATGATTGGAGGGGATGTGGCTATCTAGGTTGTACAGACATAAGAAGAAGGTTCTTCACTTGCAGGTAAGACGAGTTGCAGGGGTTTATCTGAGCCTTGTTTTGTACCTTGAACACGCCCTTTTCAGCTTGACTGTGATGGACCAATAATGGCCGGCACGGTGGATATACGCTGTTCCGCCTCAGATCGACTCGTCATGCGCGATTTCTAGATTTCTACTCCGTAGAGGTAGTGGCGCTCGACTCCGGATGCTCCACCGGCATGTCAAAAACAAGAAAGGAGCGACCGGGAACCCGCGACCATCCTCGTTCAGGGACGAACATGGGATGACTTCATCGGAATGATCATCGTTGGATCGGCCGGAATTGAACTGTTATTGTTTATCAAATGAGTTGTCCATTTCTACCAGCGTTGGACAATCAGGCTCTAAATCCACTGTCGTAGATGCGAACTCCAGCTCGTGGAATCTTCCGTTTGTTTATCCTCCGTACAACAGAGCATGGTGGAGGCTCATTTCCCATAAACTATTGGCCAGAATCCAGGGGGTTTTAATAGTCCCTACCTCTCTATTTTGATTATTTTTTGACCTCTGCCTGTCTCGCTCAAGGTCTCTTAAAGTGTATTTTTTGTTTAGTCCTGCAGCCTTGTGGCGTATGTCTCATTTACTTTCTGCAATTTAGTGTTTTAGACACACCTAGAAGCCAGGCACTCGTCAGCATCGTCACCCAGTCAGCGAAGGATTAAGCTAGATCCTTTTGTACGGGGGCAAATCGGATGATATCCGAAGTTTTGGTGAAGTAGGAGATATTGAGACAAGGTATCTAAGGAGTATCTAAGCGAGTATCTACGGAGTACAGGAGTCAAGATGATGTTGAGGGGTTGACAAGTTGTGGAAAAGGAGTGTACATACGGAGTACGAAGTACTGACTGTCCGTCGGAAGATTGTACCTCTCTTACGGGGTACGGAGTAAAAATTGGAAATTGACACGTTCTTCATCATCGATTCATCGGATGTTTTCAACATAGGCTCCTGACACTCGGCCTTTTGATGCGTATACAGCTTCCCGTACTGCTCCATCGTCCGTACTCTTGAAGGGCTGAACCATGGCAATATCCTACAGTGAGCATTATCAATCTACTCCGTACACAGTATGGAGTGCCTATTTGTAGAACCGATTCTCTGCCGGCGTTCCCTATCCCCCACGAGAGGGTGGGTCATGTTGATACTAAATCCAAATTACAGTTCAGTGTGGCACCGTTGACTCTGAGTCTCTACACTTATCCCACCGATCACAATGACCATGCTGATCTTTCTTTCTGTCGATATTATCCAAAATAACAGTGTTCACCATCCAGAAAACATGGACAAAATTGTGAGAGACCTTGAAGAAAGGATATCAATCAACATGATGGTCAATGGCTATGATTGATGACAAAAATGCAATTTGCTTGGAGACCGGGACTCACAATCCTTAAGGATCAGTGACCCTCGAGGCCTACACAAGCTAACAATTGAACTAAAACATCTCATCTTTAGTTCCGCCAGTCAAACGGCTCAGAGGGGGTTACGAGGATTTCTTCCCGCCCTATTTGTCAGGGTCTCATTTTCCCATTCCTGCCGAGTGTCCATCATTCCACTGGTTGCCCAGGACCAGGACAGGAGGAGCTGGAGAGTTTTGATTCCCCTTAAAAGCCATTATTTTTATGGAGTATGTTGTGACACATATTCGACATTGGCATGCTCATTCGACCCACATCCGTGGTATGACCCGCAGATCCGCTCATGATGCCTAATAATGTTCCGTTGAACTGGGCTGAGGCTATTTACTGGCTACTAGCTAGGGTGAATGACTGAATGCGAGGGCCAAGGGCCCCTCTCATCATCCTTCGATCCTTCAAGGGAAAAAAACAATCTCAGGCTTAGCTCGAAATGATGCTAGCCTACTGCTCTTCAATTCTAATTTGAATCCTTGTCTCCCTTGCCCTTCTTCTCTTCTTCTCCTTCACTCTCTCTCCGTCCAAACCTCTTCGCGTCGTTTATTACCTACGACAGCAGCCGCTCTTTTGACCCCAGTCATTCATTTCAAATCTTACGAGATTCTTGAACCAGTCGCTCTTTTTGCCTAGCCTATTCGCCTTATCCTCAAGGAAGAAGAAATCCAATACAAAAATGCGTTTCGCCACCGTTGCTCTCTCTGCCCTTGTGGCCATGGCTTCCGCCTACACCCAGCCCGACTACTCCAAGTCTCCTCAGGGCAATGCCATCCTGAAGCCCGGTCTGAACGAGCAGGTTCCTGTCGGCAAGCCCTACACCATTACGTGGGATCCCACCACTCAGGGCCCCGTCTCTCTGGTCCTCCTGCGCGGCCCCAGCACCAACGTCGTCCCCCTCTCTACCATTGTTGAGTCGATCCCCAACACGGGCTCGTACTCCTGGACTCCCAGCACCGACCTCGAGAACGATGTCACCCACTACGGTCTCCTGCTTGTCGTCGAGGGTACTGGTCAGTACCAGTGGTCGACCCAGTTCGGCATCTCCAACCCCGAGGCGGCTGCCGACACTCCTGCTGCCAGCGCGACCCCGACCACCCCTGCCGCTCCCGTGGTCGAAACCCCCGCTGCTTCTGCTCCCGCTGGCTCCGATGTCACCCTCATCACCACCGAGACGACCACTTGGTGCCCGGAGTCTACTGCCAAGCCCACCTCGATCCCCGTCATCGTTCCCACCGGCGCTCCTTCCATCCCCTCTGGCTCGCCTACTCCTTCTGCCCACCCCAGCAGCACTATGATCAGCAAGTCCCACAGCCCTAGCGGCCCCTCTGGCACGAGCCCGACTCCTAGCCTCTTCACTGGTGCTGCCGACCGCACCGCTGTCAGCGTCGGTGCTGTTGCCGCTGGTGTTCTCGCCGTGCTCGCTTTTTAAGTTTCTGCCCTCTTGGGGTCAAACTCCGTTCATGACCTGTAAATTCTTCGGTGGACATAATAATTCTTGACTCAGAGGTGCTGAGCTTTCGCTTTTACTTCGTTTGTTTCAGCATAGCCTGGAATATACTCTTCGTCTTTTCTTTGTATTTGAGCCTGCCATTGTAATGCGAGTCGGCGCGGATATTGTTAGACAGGATCCTAATGAGATATGGTAAAATTGAGCGCATAGACTGGGTCACCTCTCGCCTCCACTAGATCTAAAACTCAGTGGTCATCTCCACGCTGATACGACTTCTGCCATCGTACACCATTCCAATCCCACATGCGTGACAAGTCACACAGAATCTGAAAATCTGTCTTAGTACTAGTAGTCTCAGGAAATACCTAAGATCTCAATATCCGCATTCGCGACCTAAACCCATAGTACAGAGTCCTCCGCACCCACCCAAAACACCACTATCACCAATCACGTGATAGATAACCCGATAAGCAATTTTCTCCAGCCCATGCACCGGAGCACCATCACATCGTCTCGTTCCACGATCTCAAAAAAACCTCTCTTTCCAATCTCAAGATCCGTGCTGCTGGCAGTACACATCCACCTCCAACATCACCACAATCCCAGTTCCATCTCCAGGAACCGGAAAGAAAAATGGCGCAAGGCCCCCTAAAGAAAACCAAGCCGAGCACGGCAAAGCGGTACGTGATCGTCAACCACCCACAACCACAACCACAACGCAGCTTACTGATGATATTGAGAGATAAGGCCCACAGCACTAGCTCCCAAGCGAGGACCGCGACAGATTGCGCCCAAGAAGGCAACGCTGATTAAGCAGCAGAAGATTACGAAGGTTCGTTGTGGCTATCACTATGGACAGATGTTTGAGGGGTGGTGCCGGCTGACAGCTAGTAGAAGCTTACGGCTGGGTTGACGGCGAAGACGGAGAGGAGTTTGGCGCAGAGGGCGGGACATCTTGAGTTGCTTGCTGGGGGAAAGAAAGATAAGAAGGCGGAGAAGGAGAAGGGGAAGGAAAAGGGGGGGAAGAAGAATTGAATTGTGGTCGATTCGATCGATCGATTCAGATAGTGATACTTAGTGATACGATTAATGAAGTATAGATACCCTGTCTACTGGTGATGACTATGTAGGTAAACAGGTGGAGGATTATCATCAGTATTCTATATATATATATAGATAGATATATATCATGAACTTGTGTGAAAAACAATATGTACAAAAATGACAGAATCATCACTCGCAGAGAGGCAAAGACAGAAATTAAAAACGCTTCATGGGTATCGTTATCAAAACTCCGGTTCCAATCCATCAACAATCTTTTTCAAGCGAGGGTTTGTTTTCTTAGTCTCTGGTGAATCGACCCTAGATCTTCGAGACGCGGTTCGGAACACCTGCTTGCTCAATGAGTTCGCGGCCTCGTTCCATCCAGTTCTTGAATCCGTCTTCGCTAGGATCCAGGGGGAAGTCGTCCCACACCGCATTTTCCGAATCAGCGTAAGTGGACCAGACGCCCTTGGGTACATCGGCGGTCGACCACGAAGGAAGCTTAGCCTGCACACAGGTGTAGTAGACATAGAGAATTCGGCAAAGCAGCTCGACTCGATCCTCATAATGCTGCTTCGAGGGGTCGGGTTCGCGGCCGCCGTCTCCGAGGCGCTTCCACCAGGACACTCGCCACCGGAGAGACAGAAGGATATGTCCGAGTTGACTCAGGAAACGCAGGTGTGTCTCTTGAGAGATCTGTTTCCACTTGATGTTGTAAAAGTCCCGTTCAAGCTTGCGGAACCCTTCAACCTCCAGCATGCGGCAGACAATCCGCGACAGCTGCGCCGCTAGCAGAATCTCGCGTTGATCTTCGGGGTTGTGGATGTCCATGGGCCTTTCTTGGCCTCCACCTTGCAGTGGAACGAAGCTATAGCTGGCACGACTAGGCATGTTGTTCCATTGTGAGAGTAGAGACTAGAATTGAAGTCAGTCAAGGATACAAGGATAAGAATGGCTTAGCACTTACGTAGATATTGTTCATCGGATCGCAATCTCTGACACAACTCAGCCAATTCTTGGACTTGTCTTTCGACTCCACAATCCGACGGTCGATGAATTCGAGAAAGGTGGATCGTGAGTTACCATTGTACTCGCTCAATGATTTCAAGAACTTGTACGTCTCTGCCAAGTCCAAAACGTACAGTGATCCCCATGCTTGGCTGGCACGGATGTTGAACCGTCCTTGCCGCTCGCTCAGGAACGCCAAAAGGTCATTCAAGTCGAATTTGGATGGGATTTCAATCCGGACCCGACTAGAGCGGTCCACGGTTGGGTGATTGACAGCTCGTTGAGCTAATTGTTGTTAGTCAAGTGTCCGTTACAATCAAAGGGTCGACTACGTACAGATATAATTGCATGTTCCATATTCGACAATGTTCGCAAAACAAGCACGCGCACATGGCTGCTCGTGCAGGGTAGGCCGACAAGCGTCGCATGGAGAGCTTCCATCACACTACAATCATCAGCTTTCTGTGATTACGAGACCAAAACAAGCCCAACGCAGGTAAACCAACCTTCCGCTTGTTCAAGCGGCACTGAACACAAGTATCCTTATTCTTCCTCCGCAATCCAGCATTGGCCCTGCCAACCATGCTCAAAGGCCCCTTGCGGCGTGCTCCACGAGGCGGAGACACAAAATCAGCGGAGGCAATGGAACCGCCTTGGCCGTCCTCTTGGACAATCTGCAGTGGTTTCGGCAAATTCTGGTCAATGCTAACGTTCGAGGTACGCTGCTTGCGCTTTCTGACGGTAGCCACTGATTGCAAAGCGAGTGCCTGAGGCCGGCCAGAGGCTCGTTGCGCGGCGGTCGACGAAGCCCTCGATCTGCTAGGAGCAGTCATGAAGAAAGACTCTTGGGGGTTTTCGCTGACTACGAATGCAGTGGCACCCTGCAGCGGCTGCGAGGTCGCAGACGAAGACTCCTCCTTCTGCTCATCCTTCCAAGCACCATCGTCTTCCAGCTGTCGTTCTGCAAACGCCGGCACATCATCACTCAAGCCCGAGTAGGAGCAGTCGTAAACTCCTGAAAGATCACCAGAAACGGAAGAGCTCTCTGACTTGTACTGAAATGCATCCTGAACTCTTCTTTCATCTTTAGGTAAGGGGTGGTCTTGACAACTTGTCGTTAATGAGGCAGGCGAAGTTAGGTTCGTAGGTAGTTGGGATTCGAGGCCTTCAAGCCAGCGCGATTCGAGCGGGCGCAAAGAGCCCTGGAAGCTGCGAGGCTGATTGATAATCTGGGTTTGTACCTGTGGGCCCATCTGAGGAACGGAGATGGGTGCTTGCGCCGACGTATTCGAATTGAGATTGACAGGCGGCTCGGCCCAGGGATCAGCGGCGAATTGAAACGCTTGAGAAAGATTCTGGAATGTCAGGTACTGCTCCGGGTGAACCTCCGAAAACCCTTGTCCGTTGGATAGCTCTCCTCCATCGTCGACGATCACTGTGTTGTTAGAGGTCGGGTCTTTCGCGTAAGAATAGGGCATAGGGGCGTCCACGGGCAGTCCAGCCGCCATGGAGTTGATGAGCTGGAATTGCGGCCATGTCTCATCGACGTGAAAGTTATCATCAGTCGAGGAGGGCAAAGTTCTGGGGCTCACGGTCCCGCTGATGGTGCCTTCGATCGCGGCATCCGCGACGCTGAACTTCTCGGGCGAGGTGAGACCTGGGTTGCTGCAAGAATTTCAAAGATCCGTCAGCTACTTCTATTGCGACCATCGCAGACTGGATAGGAGACTTTGCGCTAACCTGGGGTCGGAATTATGCCCAAAGACGGACGCGCTGGGCTGATCGTTGGCCAGTGAACCATGTAGAACACCTAGATCCACGACGTCTGCTTCATCCTGATTCGAGTCTGGACTGGTATCCCACTCGAATTGCTGGTCGTAGCCGGCGTGTTCCCACGAAGCGATCGAAAAAGCGGTATCGGATTGCCAATTGTCGAGTATTTTGGGGTCAATGCCCGCAGCTGCGCCCGCAGTCCCGCAGTCCATACAGGGGATATACGAAACCGAAGTGGAGGAAGGGAAACAGTCGATGACCTCTCGAGTTAACAGTAACTCAAGAGGGATGTGACTTTCTATCCGTCAAAGATTGTCAGGTCGCAATTGACGAAGCGGGAAGACTTGACTCTTCCCACTGGTGCAAGTAAGCGCGAAGGGAGATGAGGATGGAGCGGAGTATCTCCAGATCGCCTGGAGACCAAACGGAGACAGTCGAGACGATGATATAAGAGCGACTGAAGAGCGAGAGCAGGGATTGATGACAATACTAATAAGAATAAGAATGGTCTGGTGGTGAGGACAGAAATGTGATACAGTCAGTGTGTTGGACTGGGTTGGTTGAATTGATAGTGTTCCCCACCAAAGATTTTGCGGCGATCGGCCTCCGATGTGAAGCTTGCAGCGGGACAGGCTCACTAATAATACGATGGCGTGCTTTGATAAGCTAGCATTGGCCCAGAACAGGGGAAAATGAATTATTTGGATGGCCTGTTGTATCTGGTTCTGTGGCAGCGTGTCACTGGTATAAAGGGGATACAGGATGGAGCGTCGCTACTTTGCATGAGAAGGAAGAGGGGTTACAACGACTCGTTTTAATCCTCGTTTTACGGCCCAAGTCAGCCGGCAGCGATTCTGGAAACCTCCGACGTCCAGGATGACTCCTACGTCGAGTACGGAAAGACGGATCAATGCTGCGTAAGAAGGCTGACTATTATTATTCTATCTGCCTTGTCTTGAAAAAGTCAAGGGGGCGGAGGGATTGGACCACTGAAGGACAGGAGGGTTGAGGACCTGGGCGGGCACGAGGTGGATGAACTCTGTGCAGATGGTCAATTTGCCCGGCAGACTCGCCTCAAGCGGTGATGGTCATTCGCCAATCTCTCGGCGTTGCAGGTATTTCTTCGTCTTATTTTGGTTTTCCTTCCTCAATGGCTCTCCTCTGCACGGTCGGCGAAACCCAAATAATCAATTAAACTATGGGTGAACTTGCTGAGGGGCATTATTACGTACCAGTGTGTCAAAATCCAGGGCGCACTGAGGCACAAACCTAAGATCCAATCTTCCTTCGTTCCAAGTCTGATACTCTCACGGATGGAGCGGGATTACGCGACATAATCATCTCATCAAAACCTGATACGGAAAAGGGTTGCCCGATAGCCATTCCCTCTTGCTTTTTTGTCTCTGGTGCAGATTTAGCTCCTGGCTCTGGTATGTCTGGTTCGTGGTTGAGTTGATTTGAACCATGCTTATGCATCTTCTGGAAGTGTATTATTAATGATAGTATTTTCCATCATGTAGCACCTGTCCACAAGCTCTTCCATACTACCTATTTAATGGGAAGCATCCAAGAACAAGGCTGTGATAATGATGACCCTCTGCAGAATTGCCTTTTGACTCTACTCCATACATGGATCCAGATGCGACGCTGTCTCTTGAACTCTACTTTCACAGTAACTATTTGTGTAGACCGGAGATCCTGGATGTGCATAAAGACCCATCAGTCTTCTATTAGTTAGTGCACAAGAACTATATATCTGCATTCAATAATATGACCGTCCTTGCCTCTATCGATCCTTCAAGGGTGACAACTTCATGATCGACTTGAGTCAGACAAAACTTCACTTTCGAGTCTTGAACACGAGCAGCTGACCATTTCTTTTCTTTTACCAATAATATGTAGCGGAGTATCCGAAGGAAACAAAATTCCTCTGCACTGCAATTTGTCCGTCTTCACCGCAGCCTCTTTTTGGTTGCCATGAGGTTGCGTCATGTCATGTTCCGTACAGTATGTTACCTTACTGCGAGCCGTTGATATCACCCAAATACTAACGACAACTAAAGTATAGTACATACGACATTCTTTCGTTACAAAAATGACCGAGATTGGTTATGAGGTTCTCCTAGGCACAACTTCCCGGACCCCCGCAGAGCAAAACAGCTTCACCGTAACCACATTGGAGGTTCCCCGGTATGTTTTCGGTAGTCGGATAGGTTGAGAAGGCTCTCCAGGGCGATTCTTATCGAGCGCAATGTCTCTTATAAATACTATCTCCTCCAGTGTCAAGTGGGAGGTGCCGTAGAAAAGATAACCATCATCTCTGCCCGTGGGGGGTCGTTCAACACTTCTCCGCATCACATCCCAGCCAAAAGGACGCCGTCTCAGCAAACTGGATCAAGGGCAACTGCTCCGTAGGATCTTTCAGCGCTCAAGGTACTATTGGCAATCAGCATGCATATATTGGTAAGTTACCTTGCTCTTTTTCTGTATCACCTTGCGCTCAATACCCATTGGCGCATGGAGATTGTCGAGTCTCCAAAAGAAAAGAAACAAAATACTCATGTGATCCTTATCCCAGGTTGTCAATGACGACGGTCCGCCCTCGCGGCGCCTGTCTCCATACATCCGCCCATTCGTCGATGCCCTCCAGGCCGCCGGCCACCAAGTCTCCGTCGCAATCCCAGCGAGATCTCGGTCTTGGATCGGCAAAGCACACATCATCGAAGCCGCGCTAGAAGCGACATATGTGCCACCAGACGCCTTCCGGGAAGACGGAACATGGGACGAGGCGTACGAGACCCCCGACGAGAACGAGTCGAATCGCGAATGGGTCGTCATCACCAATGGTACACCCGCCAGCTGCACCCAACTAGGCCTGTTCAACCTCTTCGCCGACCGAGGCCCCATCGACCTTGTGATCTCGGGCCCTAACCACGGCCGCAACGCCTCAACGATCTACAACCTCTCCTCGGGGACCGTCGGTGGCGCCCTGGAAGCCGCTATCTGCGGGAAGCGCGGTATTGCCATCTCCTTCGGCAGCAAGGACGAGCAGCCAATCGAGGTCATCCGCGCCGCGGCCCGGCTTGCCGTGCGCGTCGTCAACCATCTGTACCAGAACTGGGACGAGCGTGTCGAGCTGTACAATCTGAACGTGCCGATGCGCGCGGACGTGGAAACTAGACCAGTCCGCTATACTCGCACTCTACCCTACTACTGGTCGAAAGGCTGTCTGTACGCCGAAGTGACGCACGCCAACGGTCATTCCGCGCCGGGCTTGACGAACGGAAAATCGAACCACTCAGACGAGAATGGCGCGAAACTGTGTAATGGCACGGCCACAAAAGCCGTGAATGGGTTCGGCGGCTCGCACCTCAAGAAACGCAATTTCGCTTGGTCGGCGGAATTATCTGAGATGAAGAAAGCTCTGCAGGCAAGCGAGGAGGGAACTGATGCGCATACGGTTCTGAATGGAAGTACTAGGTTTGCATCCTCTATCATCTTCCGTCCATTGGATGGTACATCTCGTTTGCAGGAAGCTGACTGTCGAATACAGTGTTACTCCCCTTACCGCAAACTTCTCGCATGTTTCCGGCCTGGATGGACCCTTGGAGCTTGATGACTGATTGACTCATGAACATGAAAAGTTAGATGATAGATAGATAGATACCCACAAAGGTTCTTTTTTTTTTGCATTATCACGACTTGAGGTTTTGCTGAATCCTGCTGAAGAATTAGTAGACGTTGGTCCCTCCTAGACCTCGACATTAAAGAAATCCGATGGTTAACCTACCTTGTTTCTCGCTTACTTGCTTCGACCAGCGGTACTCAGCACAAGGCAGGAGTGACTGTGTCGAATACTCGTCTGTTAGTCTGCGAAAGCTGTACATTAACAAATACTCGATCTACGCAACTACGCTGCATGTAGTCAAACGTTACCTTGTATAAACATCCACAAGAAGTAAGAAGATGTTCTCATTGCAACTACCTACAATACAACAGCTACCTAAGCGAAGAAGTAAATACAAGGTGAGCTCGTCTTAGCTTCGCCAGGATGGCTACTAGACTCCAGCACCACGGTGAGGTGCGAGCTCGTCGCTGGAGGCCTGCCATCGGTTCCTCGAGGACCCAGATGAACAGGCACCTACTGGCCAGGTAGGATTTTGAAGAGCCCTCAGTTCCCACAGGTTTGTAAGTTTGACCCCCAGAACCCCTCAGCTGCTCCAATTAGTATCCAGAACTCGGCGGAATCCAAAGGTGGTTTGCTGTGCTGTGTCGGAATCCAAAGGCGGTTTGCTTGCTGTATTGATGAGTAGGTTAGACTCTGGGTGTTACCCCTATAGGCTATACCCCCGTTAGGAGGGCCACACTCTGTCCTGAAGATGAGAGAGAACAAGTCAGCAAGGAGAGTCATCGCAAGAGCGACTTGAAAACACAAAAGGAAAGCTCACTGGCAGGTCAAAGAAGACGAAGCATCGGGAATGGTAAAGTCTTAGTCGGATTGCCCGAGTGACTGTCGATGTTAGCAAGACGAGAGAAGAAAACTGAGAACGAAGACATGAGTGGGAAGATGCTTACCTGTACCCAGATTTCTCCTCGAGCAGTGCCGTATGGCTGTATCCCACCATTGGACGTCTCCGTTTAAATGGTTGCAAGTACAGCTGGGCCAGACTGATTGCCGGGATAGCACAAGCCTCCATAGCAACACATTCTCGAGAGACGAACTTGCCCTTTTCTTCGAGCAGTGCCGTATGACTTTGTCCCACCAGTGGACGTCTCCAGCGGCTGCAGTTTACAACTGACGCTGCAGGGACTGCTGGGAAACAACAAGTCTTCATAGCAACACATTCAAGAAGGAAAGGCCGATGATGGCAACAAGGACAAACTCAGCAGAGGTGGACTTGTAATAGGCTTGCGCCTGTGAGGAAGAAGAAAAGAAGAAGAAGAAGAGAAGGAGGAAAAAGGGGAGAAGAAAGGTATAAATAGTCGAGGTGCAGTGGCTGGCTCGCTTACAGTCTGGAAGGTATTCACTGAATTCATTCACTATGATGCGGATGTACTGGAAAATCAGGTTCCCTCCAGGCAGAAACCCCTGATTCTCTGGCTCGGTGACTCAGAGCAGCGTTAATATGTGGTTCATAGTGAATATTTACAGAAAATGAATACTTCTAACTGATTCTACAAGTCTCGCAGTCTTGACGTTTCAGGAAGGTCCGGATATACAATGATAGCTGTCCCGGTCGAAGAGTCATGCCCTGTCCAGCAACGATACTCCCTGATTCTATTCTCATCCATGGTAGGATAGCCAGTGATACTCTACAAACTCTACCGCAGCGATGTGTTTCTGTCTTCGAATTGGTGGCTGGTCGAAGTGGAAGAGTCAAGCGCGATATTCAGTCGTCGTGCCCACATCAGATGTATGACTGTGAATAGAACACAACAGGTTCCTGCCTCTTCTTTTCCATTCTCTTATAAAATTCTCTTCAAGGGCTGGGTAGCATTTACTGGATCAAAAGAGGCTGGTCCCTTGGAAAATAGAATATCAGAAGTAAAAACGACTCAAGGAATAGAGTGCTCTTTGATCCCAGATATCCTGCCTCAGGCACTAAAATATGATGCCGTTCCTTCCTTCTGAATATCTCCCTATATGGGATACAGACCTCGAGCTACATAATAGCTAGTAGATTGTACACTGTACTGGTTCTAACGCATAGGGTAGCTTACATTGTCTTCTGCTACAAGAGTGTCTTAAAGGGCCACATAAGTGTACTGAAAGCAACAGGCACCGTTCACATTAACGCCCAAGCGTTAAATTGACTGCGCTCTGGGGAATGATCATAAATGTCAAGTTGAGAGAGTACCTAGCCATCTCTAAAGTCCGTATACTAATTCGATTCAGGAACATACAACTCAGCGGCTAAGGCAAACCGCTGATACCACGAAGAAATTGTCTGAACGACTGCCATACAGTGAATCGATGTTGTTAGAAGAAATAAGTATGTTCGTATTCTGTTTTAAGCACCGAGATTTATGGGTAACCCTCAACGAATACCTTTTGAGGGAGTTGGATGCTAACTCCTTGCTCTTATACTGCTACAATCCTCGATTTTTCCTTCTGCCGCACTTCGAAATACCTTGTGCGGTTGCACCTCGCACGGCTCCTGTGGTGTATCAGACTGCTCGGAGTGCCTGCTTCCGCCATTGAGAGGGTTCAGGATACAGGTGCTTGTATGAGCCGAGCATGCGTACCGGTGTAACCCATCGTCTTCTGAGGGATACTTTTTCCAAGAATGGGTGTTTGAGCTCTCAGTTCTCGTGTACTCAAAGCACGGATATCCAGATGTATGATGATATTTATCGCCGGCTCACTTGGGTAAGTATGGAGTTGAGACTGGTAGACAGTATATGGAGAGCTAGGTTCATAGTCAACTGAACCAAGCTAGAATAAATCTTGACAAATAGCTACACTGGATGAGAATGTCTCCAACCCCGGGAAGCGTGCTGCAAAGCGGCTCTGCTCATGAATATCAAGCGGGGTTTAATTGCGAGGACTTGGTATAGCGGATAATGATATAGACATATTGAATCACACATGAACTGCGAAGCGGCATATTAATAATATGAATCGAAACAGCGGACGCTCAACTAGAGCGCTCTTGCAGCTTCTCCTGCACCACTCTCTACGACCGACGCCTGTTCAGCTCGCATCTTGCCCTTACCGGAACCCCCTTCACCAACACCCATTCTCCGAGCCACGTAACGCTGTGCAACAACTCCTACAGCCAATGCCAAGGATTCTTCAAGCCATTCTGCCACCCATTCGCGGGGATCGACACCTCCGCTGGCAACAATCTCAGCAATATCCTCAGGGATGGTCGTGCGTGGTACCTTCGCGTCCTCGGCGCTGGGATCTGCGATAGCCGGAGCCTCGGCATCCAGCCAATCGATCCATTTTTGGGGAATGGTCTGGGAGATAGTATGGAAAGCAATGCCATGGATGGGGTCATGGAGGTAAAGGGCGAATGCGACCTCCTCTTCCGTCGCCTCGGGAACGTCAACCACCCCAGGAGGGGACGCCATCTCCGTCGCCGGGCCAGCCTGGAAAAGTTCCGTTGACGAAGTTTGACTGATGGCTTGGATAGCTAGGAAAATGTCGCTGCTTCGGACCGGGTTGGATTCGCTCAAGTCTTGAGTTGCTTGTTTCGCAGCTGCTTCAACCCCGCCCCTCGAGGCAAAATACTCGGTAGCATATGATTCTGCACTTGCCCGAGCAAGCTTGGTGGCCTCCACGGTGCCTCGGACGGCCGCGATACTGCGGGGAGTTCCAGGTGTGACAGTGCGCCACCATGGGCCATCTTGCCAGCCTGCGGTGGAGAATGAGGTTCCAAGGTCAAGTCCGCGTTTCGGGGCGGATTCTTGACCGCGTTGGATGACGAGGAGGTCTCCGCCTTCGACCTGTGCCATTACGCGCGAAAAAACGGAGTAAACGATAGGGTCGATAGCGGGGTATCCGGAGATATCGTGAGTGACATGTATTTGGAGCCGTTCATGAGAGGAAATTGGAGGCGCAATGGTGTGAAGCAGAGATGTAAATGTAGGCAGGGCCTTGTTCTTGAGCTCGCCACCTAGAGAGTATTATTAGCACGAATCAAATGAAGAAAACTAACGCTGTCCACTCACCTAGGTCTCTGAGAACTCCAACATTCCCTCGCACTTGCTGCGCCCACTTCTGGGCCTCCTCATTCTGCTGAATCTCCTTGACTGCAGCTTCGGCTTGCTTCATAGCAGCAGTGGCCGTTGCAAAAATACCTCCCCACCATCCTCCACCTCCGCTGGCGTGTGCCTCCTGCGCCTTTGGCTTCTCTTGCTCTGACGGTTGTGTAGTTGTTGGCTTGTTTCCAGTAGGGGCTGACCGAACATTCTCCCCAGACTTACGAGGGGCCGATTTGTCTTCGCTAGATCGAGGTGTAGCTACTGCTGCTGGCTTGGGTGATTTGGTGGCTGGTCTAGGCTCGTTCGTTGACAGTCGTGGAGTACCGGGCCCACTGCTTGGGCGCTGCGAAGCTAGATTATCCAGCTCAGCCAGGATATCTTCTTCGGACTGTGCGGTAGTGGATGCAGCTGTCGGCTTCGATGGTTGCTTCTCTGTCGTCGAGTCGATGCCGAGATCGTCGAACTGGGCGAGGAGCTCATCGCTCGTAGGCTTCGCGCCTTTTGGAGGCATTGTCCTTGTGATTTGTGTTTATCTGGAACGTGAGAATGCCGAGATAGCTATCAGGAGAAGAGTGGTCGGAGCTTATGGGGGGGCATTAATGTTAGGGCGGTGGGGAACTTGATGACCTGCGCCAAGGAGCGTTAGCGTGTTGTCTAGAGCAACTCGACCTAAGTAATACGAACTATGAAATTTTTATGCCTCTTTCTGTTGTCAACTGCAACCTTCTGATTTGAGACTACAGTAATAATGGTCGGGCGATGATGAACCACTGTCTGAGGTTCATTAGGCGACCAAAAATCTACATTCTGAACGATACTGTTTACTGAACACATCTTTAAGATCCGTAGACTCTTTAAATATATACTTCATCTCGCGTCTCAAATAAACTCTCGGATTGGTCACACTTTTTAACAGCCTGTCTCATTCCACCTGAAGGCCGCCTCTTTACCTTCGTTATACTAGGTCAATGGATCTTGGCTGTTAAGCCTCTATGCCGTACGAAAAGGCGCGAATCCACTTCGCAATGTCTTGCGAAAGTCAGCCACCACCGATGGGAATGGGGCATGTGGGTTAGAAAATCCGGCCAGCAGATAATCTGACTCGAAAGTCTTAAAAAAGAAAGCTTCTGGAAATTCTGAGCTCGTTATCCATGTTTCGTGTCACAGCTCTCGGCGTGAGAAAACTTCAGCATCCGTAGGCCGCGCCGGAGGATTCCCGACGAGTCAACCTGCCTGAAGCGATCAAAATGGTGTATCCAATGTGGCAGCTAGAGACTATAGAACAACAGCTCTGAGTCAGACGCTCCCGCTCTTACCTTGTACACGGAGCTCCACTCAAGACAGTCGATTGCTCTGCGACAATTTGCGGCTTGGCCCAGGGTACTTACTATGTGCAATAATACAATCGCATCATTCCCCGCGGCGGGGCCCCTTCCAAAGAATTGATCTGTGGGGTCATCCGATACTTAAATAGCGTGGTTCCCCATATTCAGACCGCGCGAACTCGCTGAATATTGAGTGTATGTCAAGGAAAGGGTCCAGGTCTTGGAAGTTGAAGGTTGTGCAAAACCAATTGCATTCATATCTTTTCATTTCATCCCTGAGGTAGGTCTACCGCATCGGATTTGTTATATGCTGACTCACTGAGTACAACATAGACTTTCGAAAGGGGATTGAAGTCACTTGCTGCCCGAGTTGTGTTCTATTGAAGCCTAGCCACGTTCTTGAAATCGACAATCTCACCATGCGTCTTCCATACGTCTCTGACCCTCCCCCTACTAGCACTCCCGAAGAGGCCGAGATCCTTGCTCGTGTCGAAGCCAGACGTGCCCCTGGGGGCCTCTTACCACTTGATCGCGCACTTCTGCACTCGTATCCTGTGGCAGATGGATGGAATTCATTCATTGGGGCAATACGAACAAAAACTACCTTGTCCACGATAATCAAGGAACTTATCATTTGCCGTGTGGCTGTTCTGAACGGAGCCTGGTTTGAATGGGAACAGCACGCACCTTTATTGGAAGAAGGTGGACTTAGTGACGAGGGGATGCGTGTAGTTCGTGATAATCATGCAGATATTTCACTGGAAATTGAAGGAAAGGCCCTGAGTCCGGCTGAAGGAGCTGTTCTGAAGTACACGGACGCCATGACAAAGACAGTCACTGTTCCCGATGAGGTGTTCCAGGAGCTGAAGGGATTTTTCAATGAGAGGGAGATTGTCGAGATAACGACAACAGTGGCAGCGTACAATTGTGTCAGCCGATTTCTTGTCGCCTTGAATGTTGGGGAGAAGAACCCTTAAGTGTCAAATATGCTTTTTGCATCCACTCAGAGTGCTCCAAAATATCGCCCATCCACTTGCAGTATACTACACCCCTGAGCTCTTGGTTATGCTTTTTGGGCTCCAACAATCCCTTACTGCCTGAAAAGGCGGGCGAGGAGATATTCATCTGAAGTGACACGTAATTTGTCAGTTGAATAGAGTCTGCATCATCTTCCCGCGCCTGTTACAAATCCTATATAGCCCAGGCCGCTGAGATGTATACCGAGCTTTCTATCAAGAATGCTGATGCAATATATGAGTTGCTACTTAGTGTAATGTCTCAGAGGATAGGTTGAAAGTATGTGTCATAGGCTGATCGCGATGTGTTTGTCTGAAACTAACCATAGATGGGCCATCTCGCCAAACAATCGGAGCATTTCTACCACAACCCGTTCTCTTCATTGTTTCTAGACGTCGAATAAAGCAATATAAGCTAATGATGAGCGGACTGTAGTCATGGCGTAGAATGATTTATTTATATAGTAATAAACTAACCTGGGAACATGGACGACAATTGTGATATACGACATAGATCCACGCTTATTCCCCCAACCTGAAAATAGTCCCTTAGTCTCTATGCTATCTTCTCTACGGTACCTTAGGAGGTTCCTCGTCTAGGAACGGTATTATCAAGGCCAGAGGCAAATGATGTCAAGCAACAGACAGTACAGCTCAGTACGGACAAAAATACCGACTCTATGCCTTAGGTAGATTCGACCCAAACATGAAAGGTACAGGAAGGAATATTGGGACAACATCAATAATCTGAATATCAAACCTAAACCAAACATGAATTTAGAGTCTGTGTTACCTGCTCAAGTTATCTAGATCTTAATTTTATCGGAGCATAATTTGCATTCAACACAGGCAGAGTGGTACATAGGGTCTACTACGGTACCCAGGTAGGTGCCCTCTACTTGGGGATCTAGCATGGTAAGGTACTATTGTATGGTAATGTAATACAAGAATCGACTACTGAAAGTACACCAGCTTAAATGCTAACCATTGGCTATCAGATCGACCCAAGCGTCTGGCCGTTCACTTCCGGATTGGCCCAGTGGCACACTTTTGCGGATAAAGTGGGCCTTATGTATGGTAAAGCAGGTACAGAGCCAAAATACCTACCTACTTTACTTTGGGATAACAACACCTTCTTTCCGGGCTCTACAGACAGACTCTTCTTGGATTCACTACTACATGCCCGTCATCTGCTACATATCCCCTTCCCCAAGTTTCCGAGTACTTTCGGACTATTCATTAACTGATGTATGGTGTCCAGTGCTGCTAGCTTTTCTTTTCCTCTACCCTTTTTTCCATCCCTTCTCCTTTCTTTTCTTTACATCGAACACCATAGTAAAATCTCCTACTACCACACTGGATGCCAGCTTCCATGAGCAGTTTCTTGAAAAACACCACAATCTTCCGCAATATTTAATATCTTCGAACCTGCACATTATCATTCACATTCAATTATTTCTCCAGATTAAGCGTGCCTTGCAAACTGCCTTCTGCGCTTACTTTGGCCTCCACTGTTGCTGAACTATCTACGTACTTCCTACCTATTATCCCTGTCAGACACTCGCAACAAGACAGCCCTTTCGTCAAAGCAGTCCATCGCTGTTGAGACTCCTTGGTCTGCTGAATCTGCGCTCGAATAATTTATTCAGAATAATCTCTATTAATCTGAATTGTTCTGACGGACTGTTTCTGCGTTCTTAAGGTATGTATGTGGCTGTCGTGTGTTCCACACCACTCTTCATGATTTATCCGTCAGAGCCTGCAATGCCCCATCCTCTCATTTCAGCAGTTCTCCAAGATCTCAAACCATTAATTTCCAGATCGACTCCCAAGTTGTTTATTCTGCTTCTCATAACACATTTGCACCCGTCTTCTCTTCTTACCTTCATACTGTGGCGGCTCCCTGGATCGCACAGCAGTCCCGAAGTACTGTTGGCGTCTTGGCATTTCCCAAGCGAACTTTTTCCTTTTCGGAGTGCATTTGACTGACATTGAATGTTTAGATACCGAATTTGGGAAAAGAATTCAATTTTCTGTTTCTCAGTTTTCATCAAACTGCCATACCTATCTACTTCAGATTTGTTCATTCCTCTGGAGTATTCTTCACCGAGCAGGTATGGCTCCTGTCGACCATACCTCGGACATGGCCAGCCAGGCCTCGTCTCTTCGCCGACAATTCTCCGAGCCACTCTCTGCTCACTCGACATCAACCCAAACATCTCAATCGCCTTCTTCATTGACCCATAAGTCCAAATGCTACTTGTGTGGGGAATATTTCAATACCTCTAAGTCACCAAACGATGATTCTTTTACTCTCAAAGAGCACATTGCTGCCGCACACCCGCACAGTGCCAAGAGATACTCTCTTAGTGCCGCAAAGGAACATACCCCGAATGGGCAACTTCACACCGATCGCGAGCTCACTGAAGATGCTGGAGCATCTGGAGTTGACGATGTCGAAGCTGAAGACACAGGTGACGCTGAAGAGAGCGAAGTAGTCCGAACATATGACGCCGGCCCTGACGGCGAGCTCGACGAAGCGATATCTGGTCTTTCCACTCCCATTCGACCTGATGGTTTCTCACGTGGACAGACTTCTATCATTGAGCAGCGTGTTTATAAACTTTGGAATATCAACGACGTCTCCGAGTTCTCGGAGGACTTTGAGGACAGAGTCGACGACATCGAAAACACCTGGGATACAGTATTTCGTAATCCCAAGCGTGGCACGAAGCGCGATGCATCTGACTTACCAGAGCGCTTCAATCCCTACAAAAAGTCAAAAGTCGCGAAGGGAGAATTTCTCGAAATTACACCTCTTGAGAACATCTTATCCCAGCTCCGTGATCCAGAGTATCGCTCTGTTGACGAGCTCTACGCGATCACTGAGAATGTACATCTCACTTTGAAGACATGGCAAGATGAATATCTCGCCATTGACAAGCTCTATAGGCTTGCAACTCGACAGCAAAGCAAGCCTAGTGCGGACCCGAGGAAGTTAGAGGACCCCACTGTTTTCGAGAGTCAAAGGGAAGCAATGCTGTACGGTTATAAGTATGACCCCAAAGCTCCGGGCGGCGTCCAGGACCCCTTCGATCAGGGTGGCTTCATGCCGACTGCCGCTCAGACCGCCAAAATCAGAGCCAAGGGTGACCCCAACCCTGATGGATGGCCGATAATCCACAAATTTGGCATTCCGTACGTGCCAATGTTACCGAAACCACCAGCCCAATCAACCGTCGCAAAGAACACGCGCCGGCGTAAAGCGGCGGAATTGGAAGCAGCTAGCCAAGAAATTGAAACGGATGACGCTTTCTTCGGGACGCCTGTGCCCGCTGAGGATCAAGAAGACTCTGTGCCACCAGCGAAGCGGCGAACTCGCCAACGCCGTACGGCACTCGAGGTGGAGCAAACACAAGATAATACACCCGTTCCCTCTGCCCCCACTTCTCCTGCTCCTACAACTGCTGCTACCCGGGGCGCCGGTCGCGGACGAGGTCGAGGCCGTGGACGAGGTGCCGCGCGCGCTCCTTCTCGGGCCGTTTCGGAAACTCCACAGCCCGCGGCGAACGCAGCTCCAGCTCGAGGACGCGGCCGGGAGACCAAAGTCGTGGCCTCAGTGCCGCATCCTGTACCGTTGCAGGCCCGGCCTCCATCCAACTCCTCCGGGACGTTGTCTCAACTGGCGCCAATCGAGCCGGCGCGTAATGGAGCCCAAGCGACTGTCTCTCCCGCAGTCACTCCAGCGAGAAGCGCGGAAGGCAATGAATCCCTGGACCCAGCTGAGCTGGCTCGACGAGAAAAGATCGCTAATGCCAAGAACCCCCGGCGCACGGAGGCCATGCTCAACCACTGGGCCCGGTTCAACCGGGAGGGCCGAATCCGTAAACCCAAGCGATCCAAGTCCCAGGTTGCGGCGGATCGCGCGGCAGAAGCCTCTAGGAAGGCCGCAGAGGCCCAAAAACCCGTGATCAAGAAACCTAAGTCCCGCACCCCCGGCCCTATGAGCTCGCACGTCGACGGGCCCATTGCCCCCGCACCAGCTGTGCAGCCTGTGTCGCTTTCTCTGCCCACTGGTCCCCCCGGACTGGCGCCTATGCCTACAGTCCGGTCGATGGCTTCTCCATATGCGCCCATAGACCCTCGAGGCGTCGCATCGTTTCCCCCAGGTCCTCCGGGACCGTTTCAGCAGCCTCCTGCGCCGGTGCCTTACCGCACCCCGTACCCAGGTTACTACAGCCCATACGGGGCGTCGACGGCTGGATTGCCGCCACCAGGTCCCGCGCGACCCGCATGAGCAGGCATATTCTTGTCGGTCCCTGCCGCTTTTACTTCGTGCTTCGTCCCGCGCCCCGGATAGCCAATCCACCCCTTCCTCTTCGCTGTATGATGGATTTACCTTCGATCCTTCTGGATAAATCCTGCAATTGGAAAGAAACGATGGGTGATTGGGTCGAAGGGGTTTGGTGCCGTCTAATCCCCCTCTTAAACAGCTTTCAACACAGACGAGTTTGTGCAAAACATCTACATCTGCAGTTCGGCACTTTTTTTCTCTGTATTATCTACAACTCTTATGGCGAACCTCAGATCAGTGAACTGCACCTGTCATTGTTCAGCATTTCCTTTCGAAAACACATTGAATGTCCGTCATGTTATATTTGAGCGAAGGTGCCAGGAATCTGGTTGAACCATGTACATGCTGTTGATCTGCTAGTTCTTGTACTACTGGCCACGCTGGTCGGGAGGCTAGGCTCTGTACGAATAATGTATTGGGAACAACCTGCACCTTGATTTTGACTCTGATGGGGGCAAAGGGCATTGTTCTGCATAGGGTATCTTTCTGTTTAATGCCAAGTTAATGAATGTTATTGTTCCATGTGCTCGTCGTTAAAGTCACTACATACAAAAACTGTAAATGGATTAGTATGAAGTGATAGTAAGCAGTCCATATTTAGACAGCTACTGAATGGAACTTGTATCATATTCATTATCCAGTCCTAGAACATGCATCGTTTCCCATCTGGCCGTTCAAACTAAAGTCACGTGATAAAACAACATTCTAGACCAGCGCCTTCACGTGACTCAATGATTCCAACTTCGGATCAGTGAGATCTCAGCTTAAGTCAACGCGTGGACGCTATCGTGCTCTTCCTCCACATCTCCACTACACAACGAATACCAGAAAATATCGAATTTCAGTTTCGTTGAAACTTGAGACTGTTGGCATATATCTTTCACAATGGGTAAAAAGAGACGTGGCCCAACACTCGAAGAGCTTCTGGCTCGGCCGTGGTGTTATTACTGTGAGCGTGATTTTGACGATCTCAAAATCCTTATATCGCATCAGAAGGCGAAGCATTTTAAATGCGACAGATGTAGCCGGAGGCTCAACACCGCAGGAGGTGAGTCAATACAGCACATATAGCGCTCTGATGATAATTTTCGCTCACTGATTGCAAACAGGCTTGTCTGTGCATATGAGCCAAGTGCACAAGGAACAGCTTACCGCCGTCGACAATGCGCTTCCCAATCGCTCGAGTCTTGATGTTGAAATCTTCGGCATGGAAGGTGTTCCCAACGATGTCATCCAATCTCACAACCAGCGTGTGATCGCTCAATTTCAGCAAGCAGAGGCGGAGCGGCAGGCCGTGACGGGGAACCCACCTCCAGGAGCGGGGTCTGGCGGCCAACCGGCGAAGAGACCCAAACTTGAAGACGTGTCCGACTTGAAGAAGCGTTTAGCTGAGCACAAGGCTAAAAAGGCGGAGATTGCCGCCGGAGGAAGCAGCGGAGAGGCGACTCCTGTGGGTGCCGGGCAGACACAGGCTCCGGCTGGATATGTAAGTTTTCTTGTTTCGATTTCATACATCCTGCAGCATTCTGACACTAACTCGTTGCGTTCTTGGAGGCTCACTCTCCTCAGACTGCAGCCGCCGCGACCCCACAATTTACATATCCTGCACCCTATGCAGGGACCGGCTCTCCATTCCCCCAGGCGGCGAGCCCCGTGTATCCAAATTTCTCACCAGGCGCACAAGCACAGTACCCTATGCAGCATACACCTACTGGATACACTCCGCAGCCATATCCGGTTGGTACTGCTCCGCAAGCTACCCCACCCTATGGGACAACGCCACCTCCTTTTCCGATACCACCGCATCAACAAGCTTCCCCGTCACACACGGTCCCTCAAACTGCTCCGGCATTCCCACAACGTTCTGGTAGCTTGCCGGCCGCACCTAGCCTCCCACAGCGCCCCGCTTTCCAACCCCCGCCAGTTAATGCATATCAAATGCAACAAATACACATGGGCCACCCCCTTCCGAATGCTGGAGTGTATACTGCTGTTCCGGATGGCGGAAGGGCACCAGGAGCGGAAGCTGCATCGATATCATCTTCAGTCCATGATCTTGTCTCTGGGGCAGCGAAGGAAGCTGACCAGGCCGCGGCCAAAGCTGCAGCTGGTGCAGGTGCAACCACTGAAGAGAAGCCGTCGAAGAAGGACAAGTCCAAACCGACACGCTTGGTATACTCTGATAATGAAACCAGTCCGGAGGAAAAGATGGCTAGATTGTCAAGGTACGCATTTGTTCCTGACCGCCGAGGAGAAACGACGCTTGAAGAGCTCCCTGCTGCTGTAGTAGTGGGGACTATCCGGGAGTCAGACAAGATTTTCGATTCTGCGCAGTGAATCGCATGATGATTGGTGCGGCGACTGTGAGCCGACTGACCATTTGCGAAACGAACATACCCTTCGGAGATTCACACACACACACCGTTTTCGTTCAGAATCCCTCCGCAGCTTTCCGGTCAGACGTCTGGACAGAGGTACGAATCACAGATTTCAGCTAAGTTCGATGCATATCAAGTTCTAGCTTCATCTTATCTATCTCCATCCTCTTGTTATGTCTTTCTACTCCCCTAATATCTCAGTACCATGGCAACATCAAGTGCAAAAAAGAAGAAACTATGCTTGAAACTGAACAGGGGCTGCTACAATACTCATCCATCCTCTTCGCCGTCATGGTGCGGGTGGACTCTTCTTAGCAAACAGCAACGACATACAAATGAACGACTGAAGAGCATCGATAGAGTGCGGGTGAGTTTGGTTGTCAACCTTCACCGAGCAAGGCTGATATAACTGGCTACCGTGGGAAGTTGTTCGTCCGAACTTGATGAGTTTCGTGTTCTTGCCACGTGAGTTAATATGGAGACGGGAGACCCCTGGGTTGTCAAGTGAATGCTGCTGTAAGTTCTCTAGCATAAAAGGTAGGCAACGAATCAACGATGCTTTGGACTCAAAAATGACATTCCTTATCAATCAATACTCTCTCTCAAATGATTGTCTTGCTCCGCCATTCGTAAAGTAAGAGTCCCGTAGCATAAGGTACACTACACTGTGCATCCCCACCTCAAACCCTCGAAGCCCTCTTCTCCCGAAACGCCAACCCAAAAACCACAAGCCCATACGTCGCCAGAACACTCAGCGCAAGAGGCACGGGCTTCCCCCTCGTCTTGATAACGCGGGGCACGGAACTACCCCCCAACACCGCCGACGCCAACAACCCGATCTCCTCGCCGTAGGGCTGTCCGTCGCGCAAACGCAGGAAACTGTACAGATATAGCGCGCCGACTGAGAGACCCGCCGCGATGGAGGGGATGGAGCCCGTACGCGTGTAGCCGATGATTCCGCCCACCGAGGTGAGGAGGGACAGTGCGGCGGCGGAGTTCGTGGGACTGGGGAGGGAGGATTGCGACTGTTTGCTGTTAGCTGCTGCTGCTTAGTATGTTGGCAGTAGGGTGCGTACCATGTTGATGGTTGGGCCTGGGGTGGACTGATTAGTGCAGGATTTGGATAGATGAATCCGTTAGGATGTCAGTCGACGGAGGTACCGTACATCAAGTTGGTGATAGATGGAGAAGAGCTTAGCTGGACAGTGACATCGGAATTGGTGGTGTCATTGGTGGGGAACAGTACGGAGTACGGATGTGGATCATGCCGAGCGGGTGGCCGTATTACTAATAAAAATAGAGTCGAGCTTCTAGCTATGGTCAGGCCACCCTTGTGGACAGGGGACAGATGGCGTAAAGAGAGTGATATTCCTAGTCCTATTTGATAGATGGCATAAATCATATATATGCGTACAATCATCGCCCACGAGCTTTTAGAACGTAAATCATAACAAACCATGAATCTTGATATCGTAATTGCAAGTGAACGCCTGATGAATGGTGGAACGCGGATTTGAAAGTGGTCTAATGCTGTGCTCGCAACGTATTCGGTGGTAGGTCATTACTCATTCAAGTCGAGTCGTTCGTGCGCTTGATATGTCGGAGTGAAGATGACAAAGGTGCAGTGAGAAGTCAACAGTTCAATCCTCCGCAGCCTCCGATTCCGACTCTTGGCCGCCTTGAAAGCCATCTGTTTCCTCTACCCAAAAGACAGGCACCGCACTCAAGGCAGCAAAGAAAGCCAGAAGCCACCAAGGGAGGATGACGTAGCCCTGGTTAACGCCATAGGAAAACGCCGCACCGATAAGTGCAGGTCCCGCTGCTCTTCCGAGTGCACTGACACTCGTGCCGACGCCATTCAGAGTCCCCAACACGCTGAGACTGGCCGCGGAGTTAGTCAGGAGGATCGTGCAGCAGGGAAAGCTGAAGATGCTGCATATCAGCTTGCTGAGCATGAGCATGAACACAACAAAACTCCGAATCGATGCTGGTACGAGTGCAGTGAAGGGTGTCAGGAGGTAGACGACAGGGGAGGCGACGGAAATGACTTTGATGCAGTTGAGAACACCAAATCGCTTGGCCGCTACTGGGAAGATGAAGAACTGAACGAACATGCCGATAATACCGATCAAGGTGTAGTATATGCCAATTGTTTGGGAGTCTATGCAGAAATTGTCAAGACAGAGGCTTGAGAAAGAGAGAGAGAGAGATACTTACCGACGCCGAACCCGCCGATAAATTTGAACGGCAACCGCACCTCGGGATTCCCGTCCAATCTCTGGATCGGCGTATGCAGGAAAACTGGAAGCAGGGAGTCAAACGCCATGTTATGCATCGCCATCATGGCATAGGCGAGAAGAACCAATGTGGATTGCGGAGAAAAGACCTCCTTCCAGCTCGGTCGTTTAGCAGCCGTGCTCTTTGTGAACCGGTGCTTTCCCAGCAGCGCAGTCCTTTCGTCATCCTCCTGCGTCTCGGAGTAGGACATCTCCTTTCTGCGAGAGCTGCAGGAGCCTGTCAACATCTGACCCAGCCGCAAGCCTACATCGCGGTGATGCTTCTTGGCAGCCAGAGTTTCCTGTCCGCCATTAGCACGTATACTCACTAACTTCCTGTAACTTGAGTCGCACTTACATGCAAAAAGAGCCACCCCGTCGTAATCCCAATAACGAACAGAAAAGCCGACGCCAGGTTAGGCAACAGAAACGGATAGGCCTTGAAAAACCTCCAATTCCCGAAAGTCCCCGGATGCTTCTCCGCCGGGCGCGCCAGGGCACCGCCAAAGGCCGGCCCAAAGATACTCCCAATGGTCCAAACCAGCGGCATAATGCTGAATGCACGCGGCTGCAACTCCTTCTCTGGAACCATCTCCGCTACCATGGTGCGGATGATCCCGACGTTCCCGTTCATGAGGCCCAGCAGCGCACGGGAAGCGACTAGCATTGCCAAAGACTTTGACAGGCCGAACATAAGCGAGAAAATCATGGTGAAGGTCAAGCCGCACAGGATGATGGGTTTGCGACCGACGCTGTCCGAGACTGTTCCCCAGGTCACAGCCATGGCGGCCTGGCAGCTGGCTGACGCCGCCGAGGTGATTCCGACCCATTTCGCAACTTCGTTTTTGGGGACGCCAATGTCCTCGATCATTTCGGGCTGCGGGTGAACGGTGGTTAGCTGGGTTGCGGCGACTCATCAGGCGGGCAGTGTGCATACGAGATATGGTAAGGCGGAAGTGAAAACAACTGTTTAGCAAGGGGAAAGAGTTCAGTATAGGCCGAAGTCCGAGATCGGTCTATGAATTGAGAGACTTGTATCCTAATGTTGCACTCGTGAGTGAGCTTGGACGTACCTGGCTCAGCAAATCTACATATTGCTGGTTCAAGAAGTCAGTTTGCGAATAGCATACTTATTTCTAGTTTGACAATACTTACATAGAATCAGCAGCTGCCGCACTGGCAGTCTGGGAGATTTCTCGTGCATCTGGAAGTTGTGATAGAATCCTGGTCAACAGCCTAGGAAGCAGGACTATCGGCTATTATACAGATCGACAAGAGGCAAGTAACCGAGGGAAAGCGAGCCTTGCGTCAAAGTCATGGAAAAGAAGTAACCCGGGGTCTATCAATAGTTGAAGATACTGAACCAGTCAAGCACAAGAGAGAAGAGAATCAAAGAAACAGAACTGGAGCAGGAAAAAAGCAACGGTCGAGTCTGTGCACTGCACTGCTTTGAGTCTCTAGTTCGGGTCGATTATTGTCGAAGGCCTCACTTTTTTACCCTTTGTCAGCATCACGAGTGGGGAAATGCGGATCCTACAAAAATCAGAGTCGAATGAGATGCAATTTTGCTTCTGAAGGACAGACTTCTAGTCGGCCTAGCCCGCTGCACCGCTGATGGATGGATGCATTGGATCCCCACAGCGCATACGGAGTGTGGAGTAGACTACGGAGGAGTAGCGGTTGATAACGAAGAACAATAATGATAAATCCATCGGCGATTCGGAGTTTGACCGCTTGTGACTGCGCCTTCAAATGCATGCACCAGGTCAGTTGCTCCTCGATTATGACTCAATTATTCTACTGTCGATCGGCGAGAACTCCATGATAGGTCCTGCTGTGGATTTGCCAGAGTCACAGTGACATGCGGAATCTTTTCCGGTCTGTGCTTATGTCGCATATACGTGGGCTTTGGATTAAAAAATAGCATAGACATGAATTTAGGGGTTATTCAACACAATTCTCGGATAAGATATGGCCAAGCATTTTATAGAAAATTAACAATTCTTATATGAATCCTTGGCTGATAGGTTTGTCCAAGGCTGAAAACCCCAGCGGAAGTTGTGCACAACATTTTAGATCACTCGACCCGCCTGTAAACGTGAAAAAAAGTGTCACAATCTCTATACGGAGTATAGCAACCGGAATTTCAAAACTCATTGCAGCAGGTCCGTGGCATCTTCGATTCGCTCACGGATAATATCCCGCCATTTCTGTACGTCATAGCGTTAGCAAAAACGAACGAGCAAGATGGTGCAAAAAGTGCGAAAAGTGAGATGACTAACCTCTGCATTTTCCAAATCTCCTGCCTCCAGACTTTCCACCAGTCCAGGATATGTCGCGCCAGCGTATCCAGTCCAGATACCAGGCGCAAACACTACGTGCTTGTACCAATTTCTCCCGTCCAAGCCAGGCTGGTACAGGAACTTGCGCTCAATGGCCTTGTACTTGTCATTGACCCCCCGGATCAAGAAGTACAGTCTCACCTTCTTCCACCAGAGCCACCATGGAAGATTCTCGTCCAACTGCGAGGTCAGCTCTGCGGCTTCGGCGTCGAATTTCGCAGCGACTTTCTGAAGCCGTGCGATTGCTTTGTCCAGTGGCCCAAAGTTGAACGATGAATGACCAGGTAGCCGCTCCGCCGCCGGCCGAATCTTATCCAAGTATGTGCTGAGGCCCATAGCATAGTCCGTAGCGTTAAAGGCAAGCACAGGAGTCTCCACCAGTTTAGCCGCAGCCAGAGCCCAAATCTTAGTGCATGCTTCGTGGTACAGCCAATCAGGGTCACCGAATCGATCCATCCAGTCGAAACTATCGTAGTTCGAGTGATAGTGATATACAGGGTCCTTGGGACCACGGTTGAAACCCAGATCGTAACTGGGGATGCCTGCAAAATCCTGGAACGCAGTGAAGTCGCTACCACTTCCCATGGTACCAATTCGGCCATCCCAGGTATCCCGCACTGTCTGGCCTTCCACTGTCTGGTTGGGAGACTGGACCAATCCGGTCACCTCGTAGATGACATTGTTGAGAAGCGGACTAGCCGTGGGGCGCAAGTTGGTCCCGGCCGCGGCGACATCAACATTAAGGTAAGCAACCGTAGTCTTCGACAACCACGGAAGCATCTCCTCAACCCACTCAGTAGACCCAAGCAATCCGTACTCTTCGCCATCCCAGCTAGCAAAAACAATAGTGCGCAGTGGCTTCCATCCTGCCTTCAGAGCCTCACCGAAACTGCGAATGACTTCGTTGAGCACAGCGGATCCACTGTTCGGATCCCCGGCTCCACCGGCAATCCAGGCGTCACGATGATTGCCCAGGATCACGACTTCATCCGGAATAGCCCCCTTGATGGTACCAATGACATTCCATAGCGGAGTCGTGATATACTCCTGCTCATTGTACAGGTTGATGACAACATCATCTGGAGACGGCCCAATGTTATATTCTACACCCTTCGATCCGAGCTTCCCACCTTGCCACCATTTGTTGAAATCAGATGCCTTCGGACCATGTCCATTGAGCGCTTTTAGGAAAGGGAGCACTTCCTGATAGGAGACGGGTAGGGAAGGAATAGACGGGATTGAGTTATGGGGATCTTGTCTTTCGCAGCCGGGCTTGGACGGATAACCGGGAGTCGTGGGATCACCGGGAGCAATGCCTTACCGCAGAATGATCAGTATCAGTTAAGGCTTGAGGACCGAAGGTGAAAGAAGACATACTTAAAAATTGCGCACTTCCTCTCTGCACGGCGCTGGGGTTCCGAGCAGGTCCCTCAGGGTACGGTTTGTGGCCATTGTCCTCCGTGATATCTCCATCTTCTTGGGGATCATCATACAATATCACGCCGACCATACCCAACTCCTGTGCCCGCTTCACTTTCAGCCCACGAAAGATGCGACCATACTTTGCAATAGCAATTTTGCCCGCCAAACTGACATTGGCATCGACAAGGTCCTGGTAATCATTGTACGTCCCGAAATTGACATAGACGAAAGGAGCGGTAACGTTCCCGCTGGCAGAGTAACCGTGGAAAGTAGGCACGCGATCGAGAAGACCGCTCGTGTGATCCTCTTCAAGGACGTCCTCTTCAAGAGAAGCTTCAAAGGTGACATCGGTTTTATCGCCGTTCTTCTTCAGCAGAGCCAGACGATGATCTACAGGATAGTTGAGGTAGACATCATAAGCGACGATTTCCGTGTCCACCACACCGAACTCTTGCCACTTCTCACGGGTCCAGAGGGCTTGGCTGAGGTTTTTGCCTGCTAGGTGCGGACCTGCCGTGTAATAACTGCTCCATTCACGGGCCTTAGCGGCTGACGGTGTGCTCTGAAGAACAGCCTGCAGCTGCTCATACGTGAGGCCGGGACTGTTGGGCCATGACGGGTATGGGAACGGGTTGGCGCCGGGGAGATACGACCAGAGAGAGCCGTGCTCGCGGGGCAGGATGGAAAACGGAATTAAGAACAGAATCAGTCCAATAAAAAGAATCAGGATCAAGGAGAAGCTGCATGCCCGTCGCAAGGTATGATGGGGGTATCGATATCGCTGCGGAGCGACGTTAACGACAAGGAGCGGAGTAGTCTCTGAGGGAGCCATGGCTTTCTCCCTCATCTTGTGACTGAGAGCTCAAAAGTTCATGTACAGCAGTTGTAGAAATCAGAAAGTGTTCGACGTACAGTACCATTAGTTTAAGAAGGTGCCATGGCAGTTTGGTAGAGGCATGAGTCGATCCTCGCAAGATGAGGGGGGAAGAGAGGAGTTACAAATCAGGAGTGGGTACCTCTCCGCTTGAGCTATCCACATGTAATTGTGGGTCCGAACTGCTCTACTCTTATCAGTGGATTTGGAGAGCTTATCGACCTTCCTAAACAAACCGACCTTCCTAAACAAGGACAGATAATAACAAGAGGCGTCAAAGTGACACCATTTCTTTGGCTCATGTAACATCGTCAAACCCTCAAAAGGGGCCATCCGTATGCTCGTTCCAGCCGAGAATCACACTAAGAATACATCTCAACATGAGCCGCCCTCTCGCACACTGATACCCTTCGATATGCTATTCGTCACAAACAACAAGCAAGAGCAACAATGGTATCAAGCCGAAAAATCTTTTTATATACAGTCGTTAATAAGTATGCGAAATGAGAAGATCGATATGGCGTGGGTATTATGCCTTTAGACAATGATAGCATCAGCATTCTCGGATTCAACCGGGATCGGGACCACATCGTTGGGGGCGAAGTTCAGCTTCTCGCCAATTTCAATGCTCTCTCGTAGGATTTGTCGTGCCGAGTCAACATCCACTCCCATATCTTCTTTGACAAGCCTGACGGCCAGTTCAGGTACGAGGACTGCCTGAGCATAGATAACAGGTCCAGCTATCTTGACGATGTGGTCCTCAGCTGCCAAACGGCGGAGTTTGCGGGAGAAACGCGCCGTAAGAGCTTGTAGCCTGTCAAGAGAGTCGGTTAATAACAGGACAGCGCTTGAAGGAGAGGAGGGAAACTAGGAGACTGTACATTTTGTTGGCCCCTCGAGTCCCGTAATAACCGCAACAGATCGTCTCTAGGGCGTCTCCAGCGAGTGTCAGGCGGAAGTTTTTTGCCTTTCCCGATTTCAACATAGTATCAAGAACATTTCTGTAGTATGAGTTGCCTTCAGGTACTATGATACTGTCCAGATCGTCGAAATGACACTTGATGCGCTCATCGAAAGTATCCCAATCAATGTCTGGATAGCCTCTCTCTTTCCATTCTTTCTCCGCCGTCTCCTTTTGATGCGACTCGCAGAATTGCTGTTGCTCGCGAATCCGCTGTTTTGGTTGCGTCCGAAACTTCCTCAGAGCGTCTGAATCGACAGCCTTCTTGCACC